GCTTCTTGAAGTAAAACATAGACTACTAGTTTCAACCAGCCGTAAGTATGCGGACTTATGACGCTAGAAACCAGGTTCGTATACCCGTGGTGAGCATAGATAACCCATTATATAGCTTTGTACTTAGTTACAAACAATGAAACAAACAAAAATTAATAATAGATAAAAGTTATGTGTAAATGACAGCTTCAATTCCCGATGTGATATAATATTTGTTTCTTTAAAATACCTTAATCCAGTTTATTAGCTAACATATCATTTAGCCAATTTCAACAGCTAACATTTAACATTTCCAAATACTATAAATTTAATAGATGAACAATGTACGATATATAACTGTATAAAGCTACTGTACAGACTTCAAAACGTTTTGTTCTGTTAGGAAATAACATAAAAAACACTAAAACCTGAGAACTTTACATTTTCATAACCATGACTTTAGGCCTTAAACGGTGCTTTGTAAGAACCTTAACTTAAGTAATGTAAAAAGTTTATTTCATGTAAGTGCTAAAATAATACTGACTACTAACAATAATGTACAGGATCTCGTGGGTTATATTCGATAATAAAAAGCAAGAATGTTGATGATTTTGAGTAAAAAGTAAGATAAGGTGCTTGAAACGCGGGTTATATATAATGATAATTTTACACTCTTATTCTAATAGTTGGACAGATCCTTTGTATTATTGGTTGTAGTTATTCTTAATTATTAAAATTTTTAAAGTTAAAGTCTTCAGAAAGCACCAGAAAAACACCTCTAAAATTATGGTTATGAATAAATAAAGTTCCTAAGTTTTTAACATAAAATAAACGCTCAAAGTGCTCGAATTTTTTTTTTCATTTTATTGGTCATAAATGCTTAGAATATCTTGTGTGAAGTGAAAGGAGAAGAGTGTAACTACAAGCATTTAACCCAGTTTCTAGAGTTATAAGTCCTCAGACTTACTGGTGTGCTACTGCGGGATCTAATGTTGTTCAATGTTAGTTTTATCTATTACTCATTTTTTTGTTGTTTGTAGACAAGCTACACAATAAGTCATCTGGGTTGTGTCCTCTACCGGTATACAAACTCAGTTTGTAGCGTTAAAAGTCCTCAAACTTACTGCTGTGCCACAAAGGGACCTAATGCCGTTCAACGTCACCCATAAACCAATTTACATTTTCATTAACGAGTAAACTATCATTATCTTTTCAGGTTTTTTAACAACGATGAAATTATAGAAATTGTTCCTGTTTTATTTCTGATAATGGCAAGTGTGAATGGTGGAATTCTACTGATTGGGCTGCTTATGTATCAAGAATTACCACGAGAGTCAAATCAGGTTAGAGGAATTTGATTAAATAAGTTTACGAATGGAACTTTACACGAAAAATTAAATTAGTATCCTATCATTTGAAAAAGTCCGACTTATTTACTAGTGCCAGTTTTACTTAAAGCGAGCTGGGATTAATTCAGCTGCAACTACACATATTGAACCTCCGGAGTTATATATTATTACTAATAGAATGCTCTAAAACTAACTACGTTACTTCAAAACTTGAATTTCTAACTTTGCTTGGATACATGTCGGTTAGATAATGAACACAAAACTAGATGATTGATAAACATATGAACACGAGTAACCTGGAAAATAATTAACTCTTTTATATACCAAAATATGGCAGTAGAAGTATTTTCTTATTTCTGTTACATTTTTTGAAACGCTTGTCTACACCTATTAATGAGCATAAGAGTCTTGCGAAATAGTGGTAAGTACCACTACTATATGCATTCCAAATAATTTTTCTTAATAATACTTGTTTTCCTGTTTCTTCCCCAATATTTCGGCTGCTTATGTTAACAACTGTAGTTTTACTTTATCGTTCAGTAGACATCTTAACATCTTAGGATGCACACTTAAAGATGTGACCCAGAGCTAAAGAAGTTTAATATAAACGAACAAAACAGCGTTTAGTGAAATGATTATATGGTATTTTCAGTTTATATACATAGGAAACAACGGTATTCATATTTTTAACACAGGAAGAAACAATTTCCAGCGAACTAACTACTGTGTACGAAACGTCAAGACAATCGTGTGGTAAAGAACTTAGTGGACCAGTTACGAAATATTTGGACTGTAGAACAACAATAAATAACGGAAAAATATTTGAATTATTGGAAGAAGATTCAGCCAAGGTGAACGTTGATGACGAACAACCGTACAGTAATGGTCAAGTTGAACTTCATGTGTCACCAAAAGAAGCTCTTAAAATGAGAGAATTTTACCTTTTATCCATAGTTTGTATTTGCTCATGTTATCCATTCATGTTTTGTGAATG